TCCATAGGAATAAAGTTGAAATTTCGTTTTTTTGTTTTTAAGCGGTTATGTTCATTGAAATCTTAAATTATTTGCGGTAGGTTTACGATAATACAGCTCTTATGTAAATATCATATAAAAGGAAAACAAATTTATATACACTCTACGTCGATTTTGTATAGAACAGATAGCAAACATAATTGTAAGAAAAAATCAAACACAAGTCGCAGTGTTGAAAGAAGTTAGAGGGCAAAGTTGGTAATACTTATTACTTGTCTTTGAGTGTCGCTTTGATTGTACTAATATCATAATTTTCCGAACAAGTATAAACATGATACTCGTATAATATATATTTTTTTTATTTTCAAACAAACATTCACCTTATTATTACTAATTTTACCTAAATGAAAGAATAACGATTAAAGCTTACACTAGCATTCATTCGAAAGCTTTAAAAAGTTAAACTAAAGCCTTTTTATAACATTCCACGCCATGCTTTAATTTGAATTCAACTCATTACTTGAAACAGTCACTGTTTTAAATACGCGTAGAAAAGAAAATTCTAGTAGTATTATAGAATTCTTGAAATTGTTCTCATACTGACGTTATTTTTATGGAAAATTTTGTCTTTTTCTCTCACAGCAACTTACCATTATCTGTCCTTATCGTGGGTTGACAATTATCTTGAAAATTACCCTCAAAGATGGGTCAGACGATCTATTTAAATATGAAGTCGTTCTACACTCGCTACATAAAAATAAACATTCAAACTTTATGCGCGAGACTTTTTCGTGTCACACAAAAAATAAGAGAAAGCCTGGTCATATTCGTTATTATTATTACGAGCTTTCAAGTTTTCTTTGCGGTTTTTATGCGAAAAATATATTAAAAAAGGCAATGATGGAAGATATTTTTAAAGTTTACGGCTTCGACGATTCGTTTACAAGTTATTACTCGCTTCGCTCAGATTGTCTCTAATTGACGTTTTGCAGCAAGCTAATTTCATGCGCAAACAAGTTGATATACCAAGATGCAAAGTAGCCAATGGCAGTCTCCAGTATAAAAATGTTAATGAAAAACTAATTCGAAATTTAATTTGTTGCAACATAATATGAAATAAAATAAATACTTAATGTTAATTGAGGCTTACCTTGATACATTAATGAAAATCGCACTCAAATTAGTTAAGCCGTTTCTGAGATTAGTGCGCACAAACGCACAGACAAACAGAGAAAAATTCTGAAAATCATTGTTTTGGATTCTGTTGCGTTAAAAAAACCAACAATAGTTTTTCTCAAATATCTTCCATGTACAGACAGTGAACAGTTACAATTATATTATATGTTAACAAACATTTGAATTTGTAGTATTAGTAGTTAAGTAATTTAAAAAAAAAGAAAGATTTTTTAAGATAACAAATTTAAAAGTTTAAGTCTAAACAAAGTTTAAGGGGAAAAATGGAAAAGTTACCTAAAAAATTAGGAAATTGCTTTTTCATTGTAAGATTTTTGTGTTAACTTAAAGATTATAAACAAAATTTAAATGTGAACAGAACAACGCTTATCATGTTGGAAGATAAAAATACTGAAAGCTAAGCCAAGCAATAAAAAAAATGTACTCAAATATATTTAGTGATTTTTAGGTTACTACACGTTTTATATAGTTGATAAAGTCACGATAAATGCTAATATATATTATGACCATAATACACTACAAACTGAGCTAAACGTGTCGTAAATCAGCCTATTTTTCTTATACTAATTATTTCTACTTTTTCAGGGTGTACAATAAAGAGTATTTATCATTATTATTCTTATTTGAACCCACTTCCGTAACTTCCTTTACAATTTTTTTTATTTTTTTTATTTACTTTATTTTCTTTATTAATACTTGTATGAAGATTGAATATCAAAAATAAACATTAATGTAAGAAACTATGTCAAACTTTGTAAGTGTTGCAATTCAGTTTATGATTACATATAATTTTATTATATGTTCAGATTTGTATCTAAAGATATTAGTATATCAGCGGATGTTACGAAGCAGTTACTCAATATTGGCTGAAGGTTACATAATACTCGTAAATAATGCCTAATATCCATTTATTCGATGTTCAATTCATTTTTATCTGCTTTAACATTCGTTGGCTTACTGTTACAAGGTTCTATGTTAATTTTAATGAAGTTTAGTTATTTTTACATAGAACTTCGATATTTTGTTATCGTGAAGAAAAAAAAACATAGAACTATGTAAAATTGAATATTTTGTAGTTAAAGTGCCGCTATCTAGTGGTTTGTTTTTGCAAAACTGTAGCTAATGACACATAGAACCTTGTAGCATTAATAACTAAATAAGTACTAAAATTGTAACATAGAACCTTGTAATAGTGAGCCAACGATATGTATCACTAAACGGCTTAACCGATTTTGATGATTCATACGTCGTTCGATTTGTCTTAATAACGCGAGTGTTATAAGTCCGAAACCACTAAACTGATTTAGATGAAATTTTATAAGAAGATAGGGTTCAAGTATAAACGCGTAGGCTCAGTCTCTCAATAAGTATTTAATGTCTATTGTTCATTCAGGTTTTACTTCTATATTTTAATAAAATTAGCGAGAAGCAATGATATTCTACTCACAGTGTAGAACTTTCAGTATAATTTATATATTATGTAATAATATACACTAACCTTGCATACAAAAATAGCATAGATTTAAAATGACTTAGATACAATTATATACTTATATATAATTATAATTTTGATAATAATTTAGCTCTGTTAACGTCCTACTGCTGGGCACAAGTCCTCCTTCAATACGAGACGGATTAGGCCTTAATAAGCCACATTGACCAAACGGGAGTATGTGAACTGGATACCTCATTCGAAAACTAGTAAGTAAGATTTTCTTAGTTTTCTTTCACGGCACTAGCAAGTTGTAATCACGTTGAAAATGATTCGCATAGAAGTGTGAGACCTGACTTTAACTCAGATAGATACTTGTACATATGTACATAATATATACATAGTCTATACATATTATGTATAGACTTCAAACGTATAATAATATTATACTTTCTTAGATTTACGCGAATATTAAAAATTTTAAATAAAACTATTTTTCTATTTTTTTCGCGGATTTTTTTGTCTCCCATGACCACGATGCTGTAAAGCATTCGAATGGTCAGGATACAAAAATCCGAAAAGATAGCTCTATTTATAATACTTTAAATGTATTACAATATACGGCCAAATCAACTGTTAGCATCTTTTGCCTAATATCACTATTCAATACACCAGTCAGTTTTATGTTAAGATATTTGTTTTCACTTATCTTTTAAATGTAGTAATAGAAAACATAGAGCTTAGATGTACTATCTGAGCGTTTTAAATCTCTCCATTAAAAAACATACAACGAAATCAACAAGTTAATCGAGTCACATCATTATAAGTGTATGTTTGACATTACTGACACTTTCAAACGCTTCGAACCGTTCGTTTCAAAATAAATCAAAAAGCCAACGATAAGTTCCAATAAACCGAGGCACAATTAATACTATTTCGCTTACACGGCCACTGACCTTAGTTACTTTTTGTCTGTCTGTTCAGACAACATTTTTCAACCAGCCACATGTATACCGAGTATCTTATTAAAATATCTACAAGCGGTTATATCTCTTTTGCTTTACACTTAAGTGTTAAATTTGCTTATATATATTGTAATTCATCAAGGTATCCGCGATATATGTCGTATGATAATAAATCTCTCTACAAACGACCGAATTAATTAACTACGAACTCGTTTATTTTAATAATTCTTGCACCAATTATTATTATTATTATTTGACACCTGCCTAGTTTGAAATTTAACTATCTCATATCCTACTCGTAGCTGCGAGTGTCGCTACGTATATTGTATACCTCCGACTGCATATTACTATCTTTCTTCGTCAACTTGTTCTCGTCTTTTTAGCTCGCTTTTTACGCAGTCGGGTTTTTTGTCGGGTTTGTGATTGTAATTTTTTTTTGCCGAACTACCTGTATTTCTTTACAACAGTTTGGAAATACGTCGACACATTTGTGGTTGCCAGAGTAAAGATGACGTCTTCCTTTAAAATATTTTTTGGTGAAATACACATATCAATTTTATACTAGCGACTCACTCTCGCCGCTTGGTTTCGTCCCTACTAACGTCTTAATGTTTAGTATAAAAATTTCTCAGAAATTAGCTATTTTCCCTCAGTAAAAAATGTCCTATATGTTGACCCGGAAAACTAGCTATCATCATACCAAATTTCATCAAAATCCCTCCAGTGACTTTTCCGTGATGCGGTCACAGACAGACAGACAGCCAAAAATTCTAAATATTATAGATTCGGCCTCTGTATTGATAATAATGTCTATTTCAATAAGATTTTCCAAAAAATATCTAATGTACAGATTCGGCTTAGTTACAATTTTATTATATGTATAGATTAAGTGTATTTAGACTGCAATGTAATAAGCAAAACCTTTGTAAGCCATATGGCTTATTTGCTATTTGAAAAAATATATTATTATTCATATAAGTGAGTTATATAGTAATCGTTTCAAAAATGTAGGCTAAGTCTTTTTTGCACGGCTTGCCTTATTTGTAAAATAATAAAATCTAGAGCAGTTAATTTCATATAGTATTTATTACACTTACGTACTTACTTTATCTATTCTTTTTAAGAGATATTACGTAAGATGGCAGTTGACAGGTTCGACCGCGGGCTGCGGTTACCCACATAATGACCACGCATTATAACTTTATAGCTTTATAACGTATTGTTCAAAATAAAAAGGTTTAGAAACCCGCATCCACTAACATCCAAACTATTTCTTATAATTTTACATTTATTCTAATAAATTGTTAAAAGATAAATAAATATGTTTTTCATTCATTTCATTTTAATAACATTATAATATTAGAGTCAATGCAAATAAATAAAACTAAATTTATATTTAATATGTGTATGTATGTATGTTTGTACAATTACATATACCACCACCAGACGTAGTGGGGCATGAACCAGCCGGACTTGAGCTTGTCGTAGGTGGGCCACCAGCTGTACGTGCTCTCCGAGGAGAAGGGGTTCGGGATGTTCCTGGGCGTCTCCTCGTGACCGAACAAAGTCACTTCTAGCGTGGCTTTGAATGAGAAGTAGAACCGAAACTCGATGTATGCTACGCTTTTGAAGTATACGAAACACGCGTGTCTGGAATTTAAATATGTAAAAACTCATTCTTTGCATCTTTATTCAGAGTGGAAGTCAATTAAATTCAGTTAAAAAAATTAAATATGGAGAGTACAAAGATTGGATAAAAGAAAATAGCGAAAAAAATTGTCTGAAATTACTGTAGTAAAAATACTCAAACAAATAAATGAAATGTAGCACAGATAATAAGAAATATTTAGGGTTAGAAGCGAGACCTATGGAGATAAAGCTACATGCTTATTGGCTGGAAGGATGGTTGTTGAAATGTATAAGGCTCGTCACTGTTGAATAGAGCTAATAAAGATGTTAAAGGTGTTTTTTTAAATAAAACTATCTTTTCGGATTTTGTCGCGGATTTATTTGCATTTTTGTTTCCCGACGTTTCGAATGCTCTACAGCATCCATGGTCACGGGAGAGACTGAGGTGTTACATGTCTCGAAGGTATAGTTGTTACAGGCAGCCCACCCACAATTAACAAAATGAAAGTTTCACCAATTATATTACAATATTTTTTAACTTTAAACAAAAAAAAAATTGTGATGTTTGTCAAGGAGATATAACTCACAGTTGAAAGTTATTACGCATGAGCTCGAATATAGAAAATATCAATAGAAACGATAGAAATAGATACATATATGTAGTCCGTGCACAATAAAGTACAGTTCGATTAGCTACAAGAAAGATAATAGAGAGATATAGGGCCCGTGTCCATTGCTGATATTTATATGGAAGATAATAATAAGAGGCGATCTATAAATTACGTCACACGTGAAGGGGGGAGTCAACGTGACTGTAAACGAAAATTTAAAAAAATATATCTTCACGCTATATAAGGCTTAGATTGTTTTGTTAGCGAATTCTCGCTGTATCACGCTCTTGATATTATTAAAACAAAAACAATAATTTTAGAATTGCTGCTTTCATTTATTCAGGTCTGAGTGTAAAATTGCAAAATATGTGACGACAGGTAGGCGAAAGGGGGCCCTAGTCCTAGTCCTGGTCCGGGTGTAGGGTTTCGTGATACGACCACCTGTGACATCCTTCAGAAAATCAAACATTTCTGTCAAGAAATCATGTAATTCGTATGACGTAATGTATGGATGTTCCCTGAGGATGATGTGGACGCTCACTGTGAGTAGTCCCGCCAGGCGAGGCCGGCGCGCCCGCCGCCGACGTCGCGGTGGCAGTGGTGCTCGAGCCACACCGCCGCGTTCGTGCGCGAGTTCACGTCCAGCACCACCGACACGCAGTTCACCTGCGCCACTTGCGCCATCGACAGCTGTCGAGTCACGTCACGTCACGTCACGACACGTCATATCTAAGTGACGTGACGTGACTCCTTGAATTTGTTGTCATCGTCATGTCATCACCGTCATGTGCCACCATACCACCAGGCGTTTTATATGAATAATAATAAATATGTTGGGACATTAACACACAGCGCCATCTAGTTCCATGGTAAGCTACGAGGCTTGTGTTATGGATACATTACACATATATAACTTTAAATACATACATATTATAAATATAAACACCCATGTCTGGTTTACAAATATTCGTACTCATCACACAAATGAATGCCCCCTGCGGGACTCGAACCCGCGACCGCTGGCATAGCAAGTAGAGTCACTACAAACTAAGCCAAAAGTCTCATGAAAATATTTAAATAAAATGAGTGTTTAAAATATTCAAACCTAAAGCAATCTATTACTTTATACCTTACTTTTCCACAGGTTTTTTGAAAAAATATTTCAACATTGTAAGTGAAGACATTATCAAACTTCTAAAAAAGTATGTATTTTAATATACATACATGAACGATATAACCACTTCGTTCATGTATACATACTTAGGTATTCTAATTAAAATCACTAAGACAATTCCAAATTCAAATTCCAATAGAAATTTTTTTTTATTTATTCCATTACCTGCGTTAAAGTCTTTTTTTTTATTTAAATTAATACAGCTATTACTGGCAGATTTCTTGTAACTATTAGTTTGTGTTATATAAATTAAAAATATAGTACATATATAAAAGTAAAGGTAAAGTACTACTAAATACATAAGTATTTTGTAAAACTATTTTTGATAGTCCTTAAATCTAATTTCTAGATTAGGATAACAAACATTAATTTAAAAAAATATAGCTAAATTCCACCCCAAAATGACCCCAAAATATGCACAAAAGAAACTTTATCTAAATCGGTCGAGCTGTTTATGAGGAGAATTACGTACAATTTTATATAATGTTATAACATAAAACATAAATTATTGGTAATATTTAAAATGAATACATACAAAGAAGAACCCCTGCGCGAAGTTCTTGTTGGTGATGAGCTCGGAGTTGTCCTTGTACAGCACGCCGCCGCGCGTCTTGCGGTCGCACTGCCCGAAGTCGCGCGGCTGGCGGATCTTAGCTGTATACATTTAGTCCTTTTTTAACGTCCCACTGCTGGGAGTGGGCCTCCCTTCAGTACGATGGGGATCAGGCCATAGTCCACCACGTTGGCCAAGAGCGGGGTAGACTTTACATGTCTTTTGAAAACTTGCTAGGTTCTTTCAGACATGTAGGTTTCCTCACGGTGTTTTCCTTCACCGCTAAGACAAGTGGTAATCATGTTGGAAATGATTCGCACATGAAAATATCAGACATACGAGACCCGGCATTTAAAACCGCTTCACTCAGTTTCCCAAGCGAGCGCGTTACCACTAGGCTACCATTGCCTTAATAATCTAGAATCTAGATAGTCTTAGCTGAGATATTACATAATAACAATATGCCGTTTAAGCCAGGGATTCCCGAACTTTTTTGAGCAAGAGACCTCTTTTCCAAAATGAACTGATACCTCAGGTCCCCGTAGTCTTTAAAACTCCTATCTCTAGTTTTTGAGTTTTTTAAAAGCACAACAATGATACTTCCTACTAAAATATTAGTAATTCTTATAACAAGTTGGTACATGTAACACAACTTATACAGTATTTTGAAAGTTTCAAATAAGAAGTGTTAATTAATATGGGTCGACTTTTAGACCTTGTCGACCCCTAAAAGCAGTTTTCGTTTATGTCGACCCCTGAGAAACCGATATTGACCGCTTGGAAAATCCCTCGTTTAATTAAACAAAACTATCTTATCGGTTTTTCTTCGCGGTCTTATTTTGGTCACGGGAGAGTAGTAATTAGCCTTAATTAGATATTGGTCACCGTGTCTCTCCCGTAACCATGATTACTGTAATTCGCAACGTCAGAAACCAATAAATTTAAATAAATCTGCGAAGCTTACCCTTGTACAGAATAAGTTTAATAGGTGAAACCCTTCTGAAGATATACGCCTGATCTTCTTCCCTGAGCTTATTGGGCTCCTCCGAGATGACCTCGTCTATCCAGAGCAGGTGGTCGTGCACGCTGACGAAGCGCGCCGGCGCGCCGCAGCCGGGCCCGCGTGCGCTGAAGCCTATCTTATGAGAAAATACCCTAATTGGACCCGAATTTTTTGCTTTTTGATTTAAAATGAAGGATGTATTGTTTTTTTAATCAATTGTCTTAAAATTAACATAGTTTCAATAAAGCTCATCCAAATATATCCACTATTAGGTTCGAGGTGTAGTTTAGTTGAAACTGCGAAATTAAATAGAAAAATGTTCACGTTGATAAATTTGCTTGAAGATATTTTATTAATTGTGAAGTCATAACCATTATATATGAGTAGAGACTTACCAGCTTCCAGTACCCCCAAGCCTGGCGCGCCACGAGCGCGGCGCCGCCCTCCCACACGCAGGGCGCGGCCGCGGAGCGCGCGCGCGCGCACAGAGCTCGCGTCGGTGACATCTTCTTGTAGTTTAACTGGAATTGTTATAGTATAATATAGCAGAGTCCGCCCTTTTCAACGTCCCCCTGCCGGACACAGGTCTCCCTTCAGTACGAGGGGGAATCAGGCCATAGTACACTACAATGGACAAGTGCGGGCGGACTGAGCATGTCTTTCGAAAACTTGCTAGGTTTTCTCAGACATTCAAATTTCCTCACGATGATTTCCTTTACTATATAAGTAGTAATCATGTTGGAAAATGTTTCGCACATGAAAATATCAGAGGTGAAACCCGGGATTTGAACCCACTTTACTCGGTTTCCACAAGCGAGCGCGTTACCACTGGGCTACTGCCTGCTACTGCTTTATAGGGCTTTCATTAGCTTCCCTTGTTATTAAGGTAAATTTTGGAAGTTACTATAAAATAATTTGACAAAACAAAAGTTTCTGCATAGTAGTATTTCCCACACGGACGGATTGATTTCAATGCGAATTAATTTTTGGCTATATTAATATAATATGTTTTTTATTAAGTTCCTTGTAAATTTATTTTAATATAATATCCTTATAAATTATTATAAAGAATTTGACATGCTTGAAAATAATGATGAAACCAATAACTTTAAGCTCTTGTTAGTAACATAGACAAATATATTTCTTTCGAGCATAATTGTTTTTAAAATTAAAAAAATCTAGTAATACGATATAATTACGTTATGTTTAAAGTAGAACTCTTCACAATCTTGATTTTCTACGAAATCCATGTGCACAATCTCTTTGTCAATTTCTCCTTTTTCTAAAAATTAAAAATAAAATGCCTTATATTTTGAACCGTATAAGGTTTTTTATTTAAAAAACTATACGTACAAAAATTTACAAATAAGCCCTGAACACAAGGCAAGCAAAAAATCTATTAGATAGTAGCAACCATAGCCTATGGTGTGTAATTATATATATCTATGCAATATACACATAATGTGTATAGTTTGACTGCGAAAGCTGTACCGCGCTTTAGATACTTCAGCATCAAACTGAATATGTCATCCGCTTATGAGATAAAACAACCTAATATAGAGATTGCTTCATCTCGTCATGTCAAAGATGCCTGATTAGGGCCCCGTTGGCCCGAATAGGGTCCCATTTGCACCCTTCGTGCTTCTGTTTGTCAGCGGGCTGTATCTCATAAACAGTAATAGGTGAGAGTTGAAATTTTCACATTGTGTATTTCTATTGCTGCTATAACAACAAATAATAAAAAGCTTAGATGGCGAATTTCAAAATGGCCGCACAAAGTGTTATACCTTGTACAATGATACGGAACCCTTCGTGTGCGAGTCCGACTGACCGAATTGGCCGGTTTTTTATAAATTAATCAAATATTTTATACAAGAAAAATAGGCAAAGAAGTAATAAATAAAAATCAAATTATTATTCTACTTTTTATTAATTAGGTATCGTAACTATTAAAAGATTGCAAACCCGTATAGTAAGAACCGTTTGTCGCCGTAAAGCGTTAGTAGTCTATATAGTTCATAGGGCAATGGAAAAATTTTGAAATCAAACAAAACATAAAAAAATTAAACTTTTTTTAATTAAAAAAATATAACAATGTTATATCATTACCGTCAGTCATCTTAATCACAAACAGTTCTGATAGCATTCCCGCGCCTTTGATAGGTAGACATACAGGCAGTACTGGCGCTAGAAATAGACCATTGATTATAATCTCTGTACCCATTAATTTAGGGTTTAAACTGTCATTATGTTATTTTATAAAGAGTTAGTTTATTATAAAAAGTAAAAAAATCTGATAAAATCATTTTTCTAAATAAGAAGACGATTTCGTGCAACATTTATATTGTTTATTTAAATATATATTTGTATATATTTTATAGATAAATATTATATGTATAGATAGATATATTATGTATTTTTTTTTCATTTAAAGAAGAGATTAGAAATGATATAATAAGAATTAAATACTCCAAATGCCACCTATACAATTTTAATGTTAAATTACCAAAAAATTTAAAAAGTAAAAAAAATATTAAATTAAAAATTAAATATGAAAAATAACCTCGAGATCCTCCTGGTCCATAGGTAAGAATCTGTAACAATGCTAAACTGGCCAATGTTATACCCTCAGTATATTCCGGTGCTAAGTAATAAGTTTCTATGTCTAATGAATATTTCATAGTTTTGCTCTGCCACACGATGAATTTCGTATTGTTTCTAAAAAAGTCAACACAAATTATTAATAATAATAAACAATTCTAATAACAATAGAAAGAAGTAGAATGATATTATTTCTAAGCAGTTATATAATATCTTGAGCCTATAAGAATTCATTTCTCTTGTAACACTAGCTTTTACCCATGTGTTCACTTGCGTATATGTAAGTTTATTTATGTATAATTGCTCCACTACTAGCGTGGCGTTGTATTGTATTTAGCCCTTTTTAACGTCCCACTGCTGGGCACGGGCTTCCCATCAATACGAGAAGGATCGGCCTATAATCCATCACACTGGCCAAGTGTGGACTTTACACGTCTTTCGAGAACTTGTTAGGTTCTCTCAGACATGTTTCCTCACGATGTTTTCCTTCACCATAAAACGAGTGGTAATCATGTTGCAATTGATTCGTTCATGAGAATATCAGAGGTTAGAGACCCAGATTTGAAACGGCTTCACTTGGTTTCAGAACCGAACGCGTTATCACTAGGCTACCATTGCCTAAACGTTGGATAGCCTATAATCTTTCTCATTAATATATAATAGATTTATAGAAAGAAGTTTTTTTTTAATTTAAAACTTTAAATATTCCAATAAAATATTATAGTTCACAGCACTTTCCATCAATGTTACATCACACTGTATTTTTGTGGCTTCCCACATAATTTGACAGAACTACTATGCCCCTACATATAATTAAAAACGAATTAACATAATCATTCCACAAACTACACAAACGATCAATTAAGTATCTATTTATAACATAATGTAATTTTTGTTCACGGTTCCGGTCACGTTATACTCGTATATGTTAATAAAAGATTGCCTAATATGTTTTAATAGAAGACACAAAGTTATCTCCATTCTGAATTTCACTCATATCTTTTGAGTCACTGCAGGTCAAAAAGAAGCAAACACAATTAATCTATACTACTATTATAAAGGGGAAAGATTTGTATTTTTGTATGTTTGTAGTTTTTAGAATTTTTGTCTGTCTGTCTGGGAACGCATCACGAAAATACCACTGGACAGATTTTGATGAAGTTTAGTATGATGATAGCTAGTTATCCGGGTCAACATATAGGATACTTTCTGCGGGAAAATATCTCATCTCTGAGAAATCTATACTACACGTTTAAACGTACCTAGGGACGAACACGAGCGGAGCGAGGGTGAGTTGTTAGTACTATTATAAAATGCGTCAAAAGCTAAACAAAAAGTAAAAAAAAAATACATAATCTCATTTTCGCAGTTACATTTACTATGCTACTATGCATTTACTATGCTACTATGCATTTACTATGTTAGTAAGAATACAAAACTCACTGTAAAGCTTCCATCTGTATCCTAGAGATGTCCTCAGCGGGCGCTATAGCAAATGTTGGGTGAATGAGTACCCCGCTCGTCACTGCGAATCTTGTTTTACCCCCTAGATCTGATATTTAAATGTATACACACACTTAAACTCAAATATTACACATGTACATACACTTAACTAAAGTACCCTATTATTAAAGATTTATAAAATTATATCGTTTATAAAATAATTTTTTTCTCACGAAATTCGTTTCATAACATCCGGACAGATTTCAGTTATTTTATTTTTCTATAGCAACTATCGAATGATGCTCAGTTCACAGTATACTTAATTTATATGGCTATAATATATCTTTATTTAAGTTAGTGTTTTATAGATTGAAGGAAATTAAATTGAAAGAAATACGTAAAATTCGTAACGTGTAATATGAAGCTAGTATAAAATAAATTCAAAATATATCAACTAACTTAATGTAATTCGTATTGTTTTTGTGAATTATTCGTTCTCACAATCAAATTTTACATCTATTAGTAATGGGTTAACGCCTCTTACATACATCACTATAATGATGATGATGATAAATTATTTTAAATCACGAAATAGACCGTTTTCATTTTTTCAATTCATTATGAAATCAAAATAAAAATATTTAAAAAAAAACTTATTATCCTACAACGACTATGAAAACCCATCCTGTAAATTACGTCAAAAAAATTTGACCAAAAATACTATTTTATTCATTCAATTTAATTTAATTTATTAAAATATTTATATCGTATTTTATCCCATAAATAACTTTTATCTTTGGGTAAATAGATATCTAAGTAAATTATACTTTGAAGCAAAATGAGTATAGAAAATAAAACAGCTTACAAAACGTGTGCTGCACCACTCCGAACCAAGGAAAGCGGGCGATATCACGTACTATGCCCTCCGGCATCGCTTGCTCGGTGTCCGCCGCACAATGTATATTTTCCCATTTAACAGCACTCCACACACCTTGTATCATTATAATAAACCAATTTTGATTATAATCTTAACTTGATTATATTAATTAACAATTATTTAATTATATTAATGACTTAATTTCATAGATCCTATTTGAAGCCATATTTTTAATTAAATATGACAACAATATTTCCCGCTAAAATTGCTGTCATTATTTTTTTACATATTTTTTTCTTTTACGCTAGAAATACCAAAGAGTTGAGGTTTGATTATTCGAAAAATAATATAATTATAAATAATAAATGAACAAGAACTCACGTTTTGTGTTGACGATAAAAATTAATAGAGAATATTTTAAAAATACAATTAAACACATTTTATTACTTTTTTTCTCAAAAAACTGTAGTAGCCATTTTCATGGACTATTTCAATTCAGCAATAGTATATCGATGGCTGATTGACAATTTTAAACTGTATATCGTAAAATCGTTTACAAAATAATTTTAGTTGTTGGTAGTATTGTTGCTTCTTCCCACGCCAGTGCATCAAATTGTTTTATAAACTCTTCCGTTTTTATATTCATGTAGTGAGAATATTGTTTCAAAAGTGTAAGTGTTTAAAGGACAGTCTTTTTTAAAATTTTATTCAATTATAGATTATAGTATGCTGTATGACTAATTATAATACTACCATTGTTAGACCTCAAAAATAATGGTATTTAGTATTTATTATAAATTATGTATTACATTGTTTAATTTACGCTTTCGAGATGTTTTGCATAATTTAATAAAACGTGTGTGTGTACTTATGTACGCACGTAAGAAGTTACACTTCTTTGGCGTAACAGAACAAAAATAGCTAAAGATTTCATCCCGTATGTCACAACTCTGTTTGTAAAAGGAATGCAGCTAACTTCATCATGTCGCCTTTTGGCTATCAGTCTGTACGCGCATCGTAAAAACTTTACTCTTATGATTTTTTCCAAACGTGCCAAAAGAAGTATAACTTCAAAAAATATTTTTTACCTATGATATTTTACATTTAGTTTTAAAATGTTTAAATCGCATCTAAAACTTAAATTCAAATATACCATTATAACGTTAATAGGAAGAAACCCTTTGCCAAAATATCATCAGTAACATAAAAAACCAAAATCAAATCTCTACTATCACAATATTCCTCTTTCTTGTCTATAAATATTTCTCTTTATAAAGGTAAAATATTTTAAACAAGTCGGACAGGAAGGCTTTACATCGCCGCTGGGCGCAATCACTACGCATATATTAGAACGTGAGTTTCAGCTATCAGCAAAGTAACGTAGAGCTCCACGATGCACATCAATATGTACACTATCTTTTAAATGCTACTTTCTGCGCTTTCAAAGCTTATGTATTTCGTTGCTATGTGGTCTAGAATTTGTAAGATTTATAAGTTATACTAGCGTAGATACTTTGAGATAACGCTTAGTTTGGACTAGAACGATTGATTACCTATACAAACTTTCACCACTCTTTTCACTCCCTTAAGGTATGATTTCCGGGATAAAATCTATTTCCTGTCCTTCCCAAAGTCTCAGACTATCTCCATATCAAATTTCATCTAAATCGGTTCAGCAGATTAAGCGTGAAAAGGTAACAGACAGACAGACAAAGTTACTTTCACATTTATAATATTAGTATGGATGTTGATGTAAAGAATATTGTGCTAAGCTCTATTTTCTATATCTATAAAAAACTTTATAAATATAATCCTTAATTAGCGAAGTAGAGAACGTGCCTGATTGGTCTGCCAATTATACTGGAAACAATAAGTTCAAACCTCATACAGGATAAATCTTTATTTTATTCAGTGAGTAAATAAGTATTTACTTTTGATAGGAGAACTCACAATGTAGAGCTATAGCTTTAATTTTTAATCTTCTCCATCCATTGAATTATAACTTTGCTATTTTTTTATTTAGAGTTTTTGTACCACGTGTATTAATGAAAAAAACACATTTACACTTTAATTATATATGACATATAGATTTTTTTTCTTATTTTATGAAAATAATTTGTCGTTTTACGTGATAAGCAAAAAGGCGCTTTCTAAAGAAAATATAGGGATGTGAAAAGACAATATTGCGTATACACACGAGCTATACAGTTTAAATAGAAAAGCAAGCTTGTGTTACTTCTACTTAGGCAAGAGATCGATACTTTGTGAGAATTTTTCAATTTTCAATCATATTAATGTTTCTAAAATATATTTTTGTGTTTACATGTAAGAGAGAGTGTGGATACTTGATCCCTCAGGAGACTTGTTTATTATTTTCTATAATAGAGTTGATTTTGTTTGTTAAATGGTTTTTTTTTAATTTATTAATTTGCTATGAACATTTTTAGGAATAAAAAAATTAATTAACATCGTCAATCAAGTCTCTCTCACTTAACTTATTGTTACTTTTTCTTCAAATCTTTTATATAATACATAAATTAAAAAAATAGCAAAGTACATTGATAGGCTATGTTATGTATGTGTAACGTTAGATCGTTTAGTTCCATACATTCCAATTAAAGGTCTATAAGCTCTAACAAAAAAGGGGATCAACTGTCCCCTTTCTCTCTTAATATTCTCTCTTAGTATATAATTTAAACTTCAGTAATACAATATTAGGTAAAAATTATAATTTATATATTAAATTGAAAGTTTAGATTATAATAATTATCTACAATTTTAAATGATTTTAGTATTTATATCCAAATCCCTGGAAAATTATGTAACTATTATAAAATATTAAACCGAATTAATATTCGTAAATAGAAACGTCTGTGTCTATACTCAGGCGTAGACTCTTTATATTTATTTTTTAATTAATCTCTAAACCACTTTAAAAGTCGAAAAACAAAGCGTTGAAAGATGGCTTTAGCTTACATTTCGATTAACAAAGCCGTTCGAAATAATTCATAACCCCAATAAATCATCTGTCGAGTGAATTAATTTGCTTTTACAATTTTGACTGTGTTCATAATAAACGTGGGTACTGCTAGAGGGTTTTAATGGTAATTAGAGAGTTAGACATCCTGTGGGTAGTGGGCACAATTAAAGTTACGAGTAATTATAAATTAGAAGAATTAATATCTTACTTTTAGCTATATTTTGTACTAGCCATTATCCCTTGCTTCGCTCGGGTTGATCCCTAGTGAAAAACAAAAATAATCCCACACGAATCATATATTTTTTCGGAATAAAAAATAGTATATGTGCTATTCCAGATTATAATCTATCTCTGTGCCAAATTTCATCCATATCCGTTCAGCTATTTCGGTGTGATTGAGTAACAAACATCCATACATCCAGACTTTCACATTTATAATATTAATAAGGTTAGTCTTAACATTTCGTTCAATCTAAATAAAATATAACTATCTTTTCGAATTATTTCGCGAATTTATTTAGATTTTTGCTACCCGACGTTTCGAATGCTTTACACTTTACTGCAATCATGGTCACGGGAAAGACTCATCCTCTCTTCACACTCAAAATCCGAAAAGATAGTTGTATTTTAATTAAAAATGTCAGATATTCGCATAAATCTAAGAGAGTATTATTTTGTTCAATAATTATAATAAATTATACTTAATAAGCTGTATTTGCTATTCATATACAGAAAAAGTGTTTAAAATCAATGAGTAAGGTGTACCACATTTTACGTATATCAGACTCTACTTATTTTTTTTTAGATTTGAAAGAAACGCATTAAAGGTATTTAAGGGTTAACAGCAGATGTTTCGCTTATGAGTACATATGAGTGTTTTGTATAAATAAATTTTTGAATTGTAAATGGAACATCTGTCTGTCCCCGCCATATTGTTTTAACACAATAAAAAATTATATATGTATTATATTATACTAACTTTTAAAAAAAGCTATTATGGTAAGCATTAGATTATTCTATTTATAAATAGAATCCTTGCATTTTAATTGTTGTTTTTAATTAAAAATAAAAAAAAACTTAACTAATGATACCTCAGGCAAAGGTGATAAGAGTGAATAGAACGAAGAAATTTTACACCAAAAAGTACATAATGTTATAATAATGATTAGCGGTAAGTACGTGTTTCTAATAGTAATTTGAATATTTTTTGAAGACATTTTTAAGTCTTTATCACGTAAGTCATATATTACGAGTAATATAATAATGTAGGCACAGAGAAAGCGGCTTAGCAAACATCGGACCATTATTATAATTGCTAAAGATTGTATGTCGTTGCCTTAGTGCTTATTTGTTCACTGTACCAATACTTGTTGTGTTTTACAGTAGAGAGTTCTTTTCCTGTATTTTAAAAACAAAGCTTCATTTCTAAAATATTTCTTTATGTATATATAATATATATGTATATAGAATACATATTTTCGAATCTTATTTAAAAATCTGTGCTGATTTGGACAAAATTTAATAAACATATAGACATACACATATAAGTCAGTTATATTAATATCTAAATATATAATCGTTAATTATAATGGATAAAATTCGAGTGACATTACCATTATAATACATCTATTATATTTAAGAACCGCTCATCGCCACTATGGTCTCATAGTTTTGAAAAAAAAAAACATTACTTAATAGCTTTCATCTAACACAAGTCAATTACAATCTCGCAAAATATAAAACCATAAGATATCAGCAAATGCGCTAGCACTACACCAAGCTATTAGCCTGCGTTTATGTCAGTCATAATCATTTACAACCAAATTTTAATCACATTGCAGTATACGTATTTCATATTTATTGTTCTTACGTCCCTCCTCCATTAACCTCTCCGCCATCAGAGTGCTGCGGAGTTTTTGAGTTGCCTTTGATACAATGTACGTAATTCATATTTCATCCTTTTATTCATGCTAGATTCTAATGTAATTTATCGTCGAAGCTTTTTTTAAAGTAACATTTATCAATTTCTTTTGTATTATGACATTTATCTATAATAATAATTATTTTATTTTATTTTTTTTTTGTATTTTTAATTCATGAATATTTAAATGCTATGTACACTTATAATTGACTTATAATTGACA